AATCCTAACAGTACTTACCTGTGTTTTTCTTTTTAAGGTCAGGCCATTGGTCATACCTGCAATTAATTCTTTCCTGTAAAATACTCATTCCCTATGGTAGATTTCAAATTTAAAAGCTTTATATTTTAAGCACACTCGTATTCACGCTCCATAACCCTAAACCTCAAACTATACCTGAGCTAGAGTCTATCTCTCTTGATACACAAGTCTACCGATACCATTCAAATTAAACACATTCAGTTGTTTCTTCCACAGGCAGGTAATTATTGTCTACCCAGGTGCCACTATGAGAATAGACACATATATGTCTCTGATACAACCACAGACATGGAATGTTCTGGAAGGATCACAGGCCTTGGCTCCCATCTGCTCTGTCCCTGAGTCCCTTCCTCTGTAACAGCAGCATCACAACACGACACTCTGTGAGGATTACCTCGGTAATCTGTGAAAACTATCTCCCAGTGTCTGGTAAATCCTCTGGGAAGCACTTAATAAATATTAGCCATTTTAGGTCGGCGATTTTTTTCTTCCTGTAAAGTCGTTGCTGAATGATTGAGCTCCTCGTGTGAGGCTGTTTTCTACTATAAAACAGAGATCTGGAGATGTGGTAGGGAAAGATGTCTTAAAGGGATACGAAGGCATTAATGGCATCTGTTGCCATAACAAAAACTATATCTTGGTCTTGAGTGGGCCTTTAAGGGCCTATAATTTACATGAGTGCTTCCTCCCTCTCAGCGGGGCAGGGGACTCCTTGTGTTGAAGGCCTTTCTCAAAATGAAGGATTTGGTTCTGAGATTAATGTTCACAGGGAACCCCTGCTATATTTAATTCCCTTTTCTGTGAACTCAGGACATTTTTAAGATTCAGTTAGAGGGCCTCCTCCTGTGTGGCCAAGGACGCTGCCAGTCCAGGCTCCTTCTAATAGATTTCTAAATGGCCCTGCTTACCTTTGGGCACTGGCTGAGCTCCGGGATTGGCCTCTGGATTTAATCCTTTGGACCAGAGTGCCCAGTAATAACAGATCTTGCATGTGCACATATGAGACCCAGTGGAGACGCAATATAAATGTGGAAGATGAAAAGACTTGTGTAGAAAATGTTCTGTGGGTGTGGTCGCCAGCTGGGAGGAGAGCTGGGGGGAATGTGGGGAAGCTACATGCTCTGGATTAAAGTAAGATTCCATTTGAAGAACTTTTTATTTTTGTCAGTTGTGGGGCTTGAATGTGAGGCCTGGGCACAGTCCCTGAGCTCTTTTGCTCAAGGCTAGCGCTGTACCACTCTGAGCCACAGCCCCACTTCCAGTTTTCTGGTGATTAATTGGCGATAAGAGTCTCATGATTTTCCTCCAGGGGCTGGCTTTGAACTGTGATCCTCAGATCTCTGCCTCCTGAGTAGCTCGGATTATAGGTGTGAGCCATGGGTGCCCAGCTTTGAAGAACTTTTGTTGGGGAGGCGGGGGGAGGGGGGGGGGGAGGGAGGAGGAATCTCTGTAGAAAGCTTGAAGTCCAGGTAGTTTCTCCCCTACCCTTCGACTTGTCTTAAAGTTGAGAGCTTACCATGCAGGTCAGTGCTCTGCCCCCTCACAGTGCATGTCTTCCACAAGGCCCTTTGTGGCCCTACATGCCTTTAGGATGATACGTATCCAGAGTCATGCTCCAGAGGCTGAAAAGTAATCCTTCCTAGCTACTCAGGAGGCTGAGATCTGAGGATCACTGTTTGAAGCCAGCCCAAGCAGCAAAGTCCATGAGACTCTTATCTCCAACTAATCACCAAAAAGCTAGAAGTAGAGTGCTGGCTCAAGTTGTAGAGCACCAGCCTTGAGTAAAACAAGCTAAGGGAGGGCTGGGAAGGTGGCTCAGTGGTAGAGTGCTTGCTTTGCATGCATGAAGCCCTGGGTTGGATTCCTCAGCACCACATAAGTTGAAAAAGCCAGAAGTGGCGCTATGGCTCAAGTGGTAGAGCGCTAGCCTTGAGCTGAAGAGCTGAGGGACAGCGCCCAGGCCCAGAGTTCAAGCCCCATGACTGACAAAAACAAAAAAAAAAATGAAAAACAAGCTAAGGGGCAGCAGTCCAGGCCCCACGTTTAAGCCCCAGGACCAGCACAAACAGGCAAAAGGAACACAATAAAATAAAGGCAGAAGAGCAGGCTGTAGGCAATACTTAGAGAAAGTAATGGGCTCAGGACTATGCTGTGGCCTGGACCACCTCAAGGGCATGTTCCCTGGCTGTAGCTCCTGCTTGCAGTGAGCCCCACTCATCCACACTCTAGGTGAGGCCTAGGTAAGCCACTGAGCTGCGCCCAACTTTTGTGTGTGCTGGTGCTTGAAGTCATGGCCTCTTTCTCTCTCTCCCTTAGCTTTTTCCTATCAAGGCTAGTGCTCTACCACCTGAGCCACAGCTCTACTTCCAGCTTTTTTGGTGGTTAATTGGAGATAAAAGTCTCATGGACTTTTCTACCCAGTCTGGCTTCAAACTTCATTTCTCAGATCTTAGCCTCTTGAGTACCCAGGATTACAGGTGTGACCATGTAGCCCAGTCTGCCTTCCTACTCATGAACCATCTGCCTCTGCCTTCTCAGTAACGGGACTGCAGGTATATAGCACTGTGCTTGGCTCTATCCCAAGCTTTTCTACACATATTCTTTCACCCCTGGCTATTACTCCCCAAGCTTTGGACAGAGCTTTCCTACTGAAAAGCCTGTTCTCAGGAAAATCTCTGAGCCTGAGCACTTTCCCTGTTAACCCCTGGAGCTCAGAGGGTCTTCAGACCAGAATGTAGCTACTTCTGGGAAAGAACAGAAAAATTCAGGCTAAAGTGAGGTGGTGTTTTTGTGTTGACTTAAGGTCATGAAGCCCTCGCTCCTATCCAGCAGTGCCCCCTGGGACCCTGTGAGAATCTGGGAATTTCCCACCTTCCCCTACTCTCAGCCTTTCCCTTCTTGTGTGGACAAGGAAAGAATCTCCAATTCAGAAAACGGTGAATTGCCCTGGGTTAAGTTTTGCTACACAGGAAGAAGAAAAGGTCAATGGGATAGAAAAGATTGCAGAATCTTTGACTGGTCTTAAGGATCAACTTTATTCCCAAAGGTGGTAAAAATGTCACATTCAGGTTCAGCTAGACCTGGAATCAAATAGAACTAGTCCACCAGCACCACTTAGGGGAAGAAGCTCCTCAGGCTAGGTGATCCAAGCACTTTCATCATCAGAGTGAGTATAAACCAGCACTTGGGAATCTGAGGCAGGAGAATCTTGAATACAAAGCCAGCTTGGGCTCCAGAATACCAGCACCCAAATCAGTATTAGTACACCAAAACAGAGGCTAGAGACCTGGCTGGTGTGAGGCTCTGGTTCAACCTCCAGTACCCTTCCCCTTCCCTCCCCGCCCCCTCCAAAAGTTAAAATGGCTCACAGGATTAATCTGTAGGCATCATATTAGGCCTTACAGGAGAAGGTGTTCTGTAAAGTCCAAAGGAACTCATTAACAGGAATTATTCTTTATTTTCATAGTAAGCTAAATTGAAGGTAGAGGGTGGAAATACTCATCTCAGTCTAGCTCTGTGTGTGTGTGTGTGTGTGTGTGTGTGTGTGTGTGTGCGTGTGTGTGTGTGTGTAGGTCATGGGACTTGAACTCAGGGCCTGGACACTGTCCCTGATCCACTTGAGCTACAGTTCCACTTCCGATGTGTTGGTGGTTAATTGGAGATAAGAGTCTCAAATACTTTCTTGTTCAGGCTGGCTTTGAACTGAGATCCTGAGATCTCAGCCTCCTAAGTAGTTAGGATTACAGGTGTGAGCCACCAGTGCCCATCTCCACTTGATTTTTTTTTTTTTTTTTTTTGGGTCCGGTCGTGGGGCCTGAACTCTGGGCCTGGGCACTATTCCTCAGCTCCTCAGCTCAAGGCTAGCGCTCTACCACCTGAGCCACAGGGCCACTTCTGGCTTTTTTCTTTTTGCTCATGTGGTGCTGAGGAATCGAACCCAGGGCCTCAGGCATGCAAGGCAAGCGCTCTACCACTGAGCCACCTTCCCAGCCCTCCACTTGATTTTTAATATTTATGCTTTTCAAAACTTTTGCCCCTATTTCACACAGGCTGGAGGTGGGACTGCTTATTCTTTGTCTAGCCCCGACTTCTCACTGATCAGATAAAGGACTTTCAGGGCTGTACAGAAGGCTCAACACCTAAATCCTCATTAGAATTAAGTACCCTCAGAAGGCTGATCGCTGGGTCCTGAAGGAACTTCGTGGAATGGAGAGCAAATTGGTCTTCATGTTGTTTGCCACTCTTGGAACTTCAGTGAGACAAAGATCAGTTGTATACCCCTTTCCAAAGACTTTATTTTCCACTGTGCTTACGACTGTCTACAAGGAATGTCAACCGCAAAACTCCTGTCCTTAGAACCTTCCCGAAACCAGGACACTCGTCTCAGAACTAGTGAGTGGCCAGTGCTGGATCCAGAATCCACTTCTAACAGACACCACCTTTTCAGAAGGAAAAGGCCACAATATACATAAAAATGAACAATAATAGCACCTACCACACCACACACTGTATGCCAGGCGCCTTTCTAAGCGCTTCATGTGTGTTAATTGACAATTAACACAATTAACACAATTTAACGACAACAACAAACTATTTTAGGAGCATTTTCCCACCAAAGTGGCCCACTAAGAAACAGCCTTTTCTTCTTCTTTTTGGCAGTTGCATGACAAGGCGATCCGAAATCACAACTGCAGTTCAGGTTCCTGGTGGCGGGGCTTGCTTCCTCTTCTCGTTTGTTTAGTCTCAATCGGTGCCTGCCGATGGGCCTGGCCCCCGGCAGGGGCTCCTTCACTGTTGTATAAACAGGTGAGGCTCGGTGGGGGGGACGCGGGTGGCAGGGACGTGGCAGAGTTCTGCGGGGTCCGGGGTGGGGTCGGAGTTCGAGGCAACTCCCAGGAGATCGGGCAAGGTTAAGACAGGGCCGGGGCCGTAGTTGCTACAGGCACGGGATTTTTGTTATTGTGGTGGTGGTGGTGGTTCTTTCTAGAAAGCAGCTGTAACACCAGGTCAGGGCGCATTCAAATGAACCACATGGAGCCAGCGAGCGGCGCCCAGGCCCCGGGCCCTGCTGTGAAGGCCCCGCCAAAGGTCAGGGCTTGGTCCGCGTGACGCGCCTTCCTGCGCCCGGCCGAGCCACGCCGGGCCCCAGGTAAGATCCTCCCCGGCTCGGGGCCCGCCGAGGGGGCGCCCGCCGGCCGGCCCAGCCCGCCTGCCCAGCCCCAGCGGCTTCTTCACCAGTGCGCGGGGCGGGGAGGGAGAGGGGAGGTGGGGGAGACGCAGCGGCCCGCGATCGGTTCCACGCGGGGTCCGGAGTCCCCGATCGTGGTTCAGCCTGGGCGGCCCCGAGCTGCCCGCGGGGGAGCCGGAAGCCGGGCGCCCCCGACGGCCCCAGGTGGTGGCAGGTGCCACTTCTGGGGTCCGCCGTAGCCCTCGGAAGTGCGTGTGGTTTGTGTGTGTGTGTGTTGTGTTTGATCCGGGGGTGGCGTGGAAGATGGGGGGGGGTCCATCTGATGAAGTCCCCACCGCTTCGTATCGAGGTCGGGGTGGCTTCTTCCTTTAAAAACGAGGTGTTTTTACATTGAACGTACCCCTGTGCACCTCCAGCTAAGGTATCTGCGCTCCTCAAACAACAGGAATGCTGCACTGGCCTTGGGCCAGCGGAGGCTCAGCGAGCAGGATACGATTTCAGTGCAGATTTACGGGAAGCGGCCGGTGCTGGGAGTAGAAATCTGGTTTGGTGAGTTTAAGAGGGAAGGGAGTCGGCGGAGACAGCCTCGCTCCTGTGAGTGAGGCGCACGGCCCGGGCTGGGGGTGGGCCGGGAGGCGGGCGGGAGCGGGCGGCGGAGAGCCGCGGAGAGCCGGGCAGAGCCGGGCAGAGCCGCGAGCGCAGCCACCGCGCGCCGGCCCCGGAGCGCAGCCACCGCGCGCCGCGCACCACGCACGCCGCCGCCGCTCTCCGGCCCTGCCCGGGGTGTGGACCCTCCTCACCGGGAATCGAACCCCCCCCCCTCGGGATACCTTCCACCCCCCACTCCCACCCCCAAACTCTGGAGAGCCGCCCTCGGGTTCCCGATCGCCCGCCCGGCTTTGGAATGTGCAGCCCGGGACCGTGAGGAGCCGGGGTCTGGGGAGTTGGTCTTTTCGTGGAGGGGTGGCGGCGGCGGGGGGGAAAGTTTCCTCTCCGCGGGGGCTCGAAGGGGCTTTTGTTTGTTTGTGTAAAGAAATTTGTGATCAACTGGAATTCCCAGATCCTGGGAAGTTAAAAAGAAAGAAATCGGGGGAGTGTGGGGCAGTGCTTCAAGTAGCAGCTCGGTGTGGCCCCGATTTGGGGTTTTACATGAAACGGAGGGCGCCGGGAAGATGTGCTAATGACTCCCTAGCCGGGCGAGTCGCTGCGGGGCTGCGGACGCTCTGGATTTCCCAAGTGGGCGACTCCAAGTGTTCACCCAAGGTAAGGTGGCTCGCGGCGCCTCCGCCAGCGCCGGCCCGGGGCCGGGGTGGACTTCTTTCCTCGCTCTCGGTCTTTCTCCTCGCTCGGTAGTAGTCCGTGCTCCCTTCCTTCGACCGCCTTCCTCCATGGAGTGGGAAGTAAAGGGTTTCTAGACAAGGGTTTGCAAAGCGTCAGCTTTTGGAAAAGCAGATCATCACACAGCCAGCCGGCCGCATGGTGTTTCCTGTGGTGGTGAGTCTTCTTTCCAGAAAGAAACAGATGTTTTTCACCCTTGAAACAAAAACAAAAACCAACCAACCATGCTCGGGCCGCCCAGGGGCACAGGTGACTGTTTTGTGTTGTTTTTCCCCCTTCTTTCTCGACTTTGCGAGATTGTTGGGGACCTGGGGTGTCTTATTGAAGTGTTGGAGTCCAAGCGGGTGGCCTTCCTGGGGTGATTTACTCCGAAAGGAAAGCCACCCCCAGGCCAGGCCTCCTTGGTCCAAGCGGAAAAACTCCCCGTCTTTGGAAAGGGTTGGCCCAGGGATTGTGACAGCTGATGAGCATATAAGAGGTTAGTTAAAAGTAATGGAAATGGAAAATTGCAACGAAATGACTCACTTTTAATTCGGTAAAAGCTCAACGACTCTTGGTGTCTGTTCGGAGGCATCTGGAGATACAGCTTCTTTCTAGGGCTTATCTTAGTGTGGAAAGATAGGATCCTTAAGGTACTTGACAGGTCATTTTCAAATTAAAAGTCAAGTTTTTTTTTTTTTTTGTAGTCTTCTAATATCTCACTTGGTTTTATTTAGAAGGAATCTAGACTAAAACTATATCCCCGAGCCAGGCGTGGTGGTGCCTACTTACAGGAGGATCTTGAGTTCAAGACTAGTCTGGATTACATCGCAAGATTGTGTTGGTCTAAAACAATAACAACAAAAACCTGAAACAAAAATGTATTATTTAAAAGTACTGATGTGAACCAGGTATGGTGGTCATGCTTGTAATCCTCACTTGTAGTCCTCAGTGACAGAGGCCGGGGGTTTGGACAGGTTGAGGCCAGTCTAAGCTGCAGAGATGCGGTCTCCCCAAAAAAATGACTAAGTCCCAAGGTTTGGAATCGCACACATTTTTTCACAGAAGGATAAGCAAAGAGTCACAGGAAAGGGTCATTGCAGTGTTGAGCACTAAATAAACAAGCAAATAAATAAAAGGTTGCCAATTAGACCCAGAGCATTTGGTAGTTATAGGTGCCGACTGTAAAAGGTGAAAGGTTGTGAGCAAAGTGCCCAATCAAGAGAATAATAGCACGTGTGGGAGTTGGTGTTGCTTGTAATTTCAGTAACACTCATTGTCAGATAGATGCCGTGGTGTGTTGGAGGAGAAAAAAACGCAACTCAGCCTGAGAGGGCAGCTGTAGGAGGAAAGGTGAAGATATCTTGGATTTGGTTTTTTTTCTTCTGTGTCCACCTTACCCATTACCTGATTCTGATAAGCGCACAGTAGGTTTCTTTGAGTCATAGCTTGCTGTATCCTAGGAGAACGGGAAATCAGAAATTGCACGTGTTTGACTTTGAGGTTCACTTTGAGTACTTGTCAAATGAAGACATAAATGGACAATAGCAAAGCCCCTAACGCAGCTCTGCCATCCCTCCACCAGACTAGTGAAGATGGAGAGAGTTGTTTTTTTTTTTGTCGGCTGTGGGGTTTGAACTCTGGGCCTGAGCGCTGCCCTCAGCTCTTCAGCTCAAGGTGAGTGCTCTACTGATTGAGCCACAGCGCCACTTCCAGTTTTCTAGTGGTTTATTGGAGATAAGAGTCTCACTGACTTTCCTGCTCGGGCTGGCTTTGAACTGTGATCCTCTGATCCTAGTCTCCTGTGTAGCTAGGATTACAGGCATGAGCCACCGGCGCCCGGCTTTGGAGAGAGTTTTTAACCCTATTCCTCTACTGAGATTTGAACTGAGGGCATCAGGCATGCTAGGTTTCTGACTTTTTTTGGAGTCATATCTCCAGCCTATCTATCTATGAATGACTGGGTCCCCCATGTTGTTCAAACAGTTGTTGGTACTGAGGTAAAATAGGAAGCTACTTGTTTGGGGACATATGCATATGTGTGTGTGTGTGTGTGTGTGTGTGTGTGTGTGTGTGTGTGTGTGTGTATGTGTGTGTGTAGGTATGGACTATACATTGTTTAAGATCCCTCAATTTTTTATTCCTCATATGATAGGACATTCACATTCTTCATTTAGTAGTAATCAAACCTATTTTACATAATTTTTTTTGGGGGGGGGTCAGTCGTGGGGCTTGAACTCTGGGCCTGGGCGCTGTCCCTGAGCTCTTTTGCTCAAGGCTAGCGCTCCATCATTTTGAGCCACAGTGCTACTTCTGGTTTTCTGGTGGTTAATTGGAGATGAGAGTCTCACATATTTTTCTGCCCGGGCTGGCTTTGAACCATGATTCTTAGATCTCAGCCTCTTGAGTAGCTAGGGTTTTAGGCTGGAGCCACCAGTGCCCAACTAATTAATTTGCTTTCTAAATTTTACTCTTATCTCTTTCCCCCACCAGGGATTGTTGGTGGGGGTGGGAGTGGGGCAAATCTAGCCCATAGCCTCATGCATGATAGTGAAGCATTTCACTACTGAGCTGCATCCCCAATACCCAAAGCTACTCTTAAACTCAAGATTAAAAGTAAATCTTCAGGGTTTTGGATTTAGCTCCGTGGAAGAGCATTTGCCTGGCAATTGCAAGGCCCTGAGTTTAGTCCTCAGCTAAATAAATAAATACAAAAACAAAAAATAAATTGTGCCAGGAGGCCACATATCTCACACCTGTAATCCTCACTACTCAGGACACTGAGATCTGAGGATCTTAGTTCAAAGCCAGCTTGGGTGGGAAAATCCTTAAGATTTTTTTTTTTGTGGGGTGGGGGGGGGGCTGGGGTTGTTTGTTTATTTGCCAGTCGTGGAGCTTGAAGTCAGGGGCCTGGGCTCAGTCCTTGAGCCTCCTCTCTTTGCTCAGGGCTAGAGGCTCTACCACTTGAGCCACAATGCCACTTCCAGCCTTTTCTGTGTATGTGGTACTGAGGAATGGAACCCAGGGCTTCATGCATGCTAGGCAAGCTCTCTACCACTAAGCCACATTCTCAGCCCATGTTTAATTTTTTTTTTTGGTCCCGTAGTGGGGTCTGAACTCTGGGCCTGGGCGCTGTCCCTCAGCTCTTCAGTTCAAGGCTAGCACTCTACCACTTGAGTCACAGCGCCACTTCCAGCTTTTTTCTGCTTATGTGGTGCTGAGGAGTAGAATCCAGGGCCTCATGCATGCGAGGCAAGCACTCTACCACTGAGCTAACTTCCCAGGTCCTTAATTTTTTTTTTTAATTGAGTTTTATTGTATTGTAAGGGCGATGTCAGTGGGGTTGCGCTTACATAAGTAAGGTAATCAGTACATTTCTTGTCGAACATTGTTATCCCCTCCCAATCCTTAAGATTTATCCGAAAATAAATACCAAAAAGCTGGAATTTGTAACGTAGGCTTAAGTGATAGTACACCAGCCTTGAGTGAAAAAGCTAAGGGATAGCACCCAAGTCTTGAGTTCAAGACCCAGTACTGGCACCAAAGAAAAAAAAAAGTAAATTAAATACCAGATGATTGCACTTTGACTACTACAAACAAAACAAAACAAAACAAAAACCTTTGTCTTTCAGCTCATTTCCTGGGCTCTGCCTGGTTTTTCATGAAGGGTCAGGAGGATGCTCACAGCGGGGCTGGTGAGAGGGAGATTTCCTTCAAAGTGAGCCCAAGCTCAATGTTCGTTATCCCAAACTGGACAGGGGTGGGGGTGCGGGTAAAGGGAGGGAACTCACTTTGAAGAGGACTTAAATTTGGGATTCATAAGACTTTTTTTTTTTTTTTTTAAAGATATGCTTTGCCTGAATTTAGAGTTCTGTGCCAAACTTTTGGGAAGTCACAGTGAAGGACATTTAATGCAGCTTGAAGCGTTTGTCAGAATGATTCCAAGTTAAAGGTTATATTGGAACATTCCAACTCCTGGCTTGATTAAGAGATATATTTTTCCTTTTGGGAGCAGGCTCTGTGTCTTATGATGCTGCTGATTTCCTGGTTTAATATCATAAGAGAAGATGTGTGTTAGGCAAAACAGCCACCTGCTGGGAGTACTTGCTTCAGAGAACAATGGGGTAAAGGTTTTTCATAATGGTAGTGCAGAGGTGACTTGGCTTCCGAGAGAGGAGGCCTCTAGAACTTTCATAGAATTGTGGAGAGATGATAATTGAGACTTGTTCTGT